AAGGTCCTGCACGCTCGTGCCCAGCCCATTCCTCTCCACAGGGAACACTAAAGGAATCAGAGCGTCTCCTGCTGTCCCTACACGCATTTCTACTTCCATCAAAGAATTCTAGAAATAACATGAGACACAAAGCCACGGCCAGGAGGACAATCTCATCAGTTCAGTGACATTTACAAGATGCCTACTCTGTGCTGGGCATTGGCTCAGCCTCCAAGGTGCAAAAATGACTAGGAGGTGGGTCTGTTCCTGAATTAATCTGTTAGCATTTTCCATCTGCTAAGTCAGAAATGCACTCCTGGGTTTGTTTCCAAAGCACAGGAATACCACAAAGGTGAGGTTATATGTAAAAGATGTTATCAGCACATGTCAGTTAGTGTCAACGTGTAATAACATAATTAGTGGGGAATGGCACTGTCCTCAGAGCAGAGTCACCTGCCAATCCTATACAAAGAAATTAACCTGAAGACTCAACAGCACAAACTGACCACTATTACCAGACTCTAACCTTTCCTCCATCAAGGTTAATATAATTCCATATCAGTATTCAGAAAAGTATCAGCATAAGCCCTGGTAAGTCTTTAAACTATAGAGAAAGGCAAGTTTCTTCAGAAGGAAAATTTATTTGCATGTTATTGTTAATGCTATTATTTATCACTCTCACCACCCTCGTCATCATCTTCTCTGTATGGAGGGGTGTCTCATGGCAGGACCATGAGAACTGCTCTGGTTATTTCGCCTTACTTAAGGCTTATGTCAATCTTGTAAATTAGCTATTGAAGAAGCAACTGCCTCCACTTATTAATGAGAAAACCAAGGTATGTAAGTTGCTCCAAGTTGCTGAGTGAATCACAGAGCCAGAGCCCAACCCAGCTGGCATCCACCCGGCAGGTGCCATGGTGTGGGACATGGAAAGGGGCAGCAATCTCCCAGGAAGACCCCCACCGTACCTGGTGGCTATGCTCAGCTGTGACGCCTGTTCTCCAGTGCTGTGGCCCTTGCCAGGCAAGCCCTGCTCCGGCTTACTCTCCTAGAGAAGGAGAAGAGAAGAGAGCTGGGAGTAGTGCAGAGAAAGGGCCTGCCCAACAGCTCGTGGGCTCCCACGGGCACCCTCGGGGCCCAGGACAGACCCCCGGAAGGTGGACCCTTCCCCAGCACCACACAACCCAGAGAGGGTCCTGGGAGGCTACGGATGTGTTGGCCTCAGCAGGTTCTGGTGGTTTCTTGGCTTAGGAGTGTACAATTAAGCTGAGAAATATTTCTGACAGAAATGAGTCTGTTATCCATAAGTGTTTGTGGCACCAAACCAAACTTCATTATTACTGTAGCTTATGCAAATGCTTTATCAAGGGCTGCTTGGATTCCCGAGGGCTTTCAAAATATTTTCTTGTCATTGCTGATAGAAACGCTCAAAAATATTTTCACACCACATTTTGCTCGGGGAAAATGTGGAAGCATTTTTCTCCTTTTCAATACCGCATACTCTTAGGAGAAAACGCTCCTCTGATTACTGAACAGAGTCTTGCATTTCTGAGAGAACACCTGGGCCTAGGCCCCAGCCTCACTGGCTTATGAACCTCGGGGGAGTCAGTTAAGAGTTCGGAATTTCACTTCCTCATCTGTGATACAGGTAGGACCTTCTCCATCCCCTAGCACTCCTGTGGGAACCACACAGGAGGTGCTGTGTGTGACATGCAGAGCCTGGCACACAGCGGGCAAGGGTGGAGGGAGGTGGGCTCTGACCACACAGACTTGGAGGAAAACAGAAAAGACCAGACAGGTGTCACAGGGCAGGGGCCGCCCAACAAAATCTCTTTACCTATAGTTAGTTGGTCATTTCTTTAATAAGGAACACGAACAGTATAAGCAACGTAAAAGGCTGACCCCCTTCACATCTGAGCAGTACAAACTAGTTTCAAATACTTCGTGCTCTTACAAGCACATAAATATATTTGCTAGAACACACCCAGTTATTTTAAATTTATGGATTGAGTCAAATAACAGCTACCACTATTAGCAAAATTTAATTTAGCTACTTCAAAAACATACCTACCAGAAATAAAGACATTTCATTTGTTGTTGTTTTTGTTTTTGTTTTGTTTTTGTTTTTTGAGAAATACTTAACTTCACGATTGTTCCTTACTTTGAACTGGCATTCCCTTTAATTCTAACAGATGAGAATTTAGATACTTCACAAGGAGGTCTTCGCAATCTATTTCTGCTTTGAATTTTAGAATAGTCTGCTCTGTAATAAGAAAACTAGAAAGGCCCTTCATGCTTTAAGTCCCCTAGAGTAAAGAATATATATTTGCTTTAACTTACTTACACCCCCTGAACGTCAATAAAACAAATCATTAAAACTTAGATATACTAACAGAAAATGTCAAAGAACAATCACTTCTTGATAAAAATCTTCCAGCAAACTTTTCCCCTTAACCAGAGTTTCTTTTACTATTAAAATAACCAACTTGACTTTTTCTTTGTTGTTTCTTCATACTATATTCCAAAACTAATCATCATTCCCTCAACAAATATTTGCCTAACCCCTACTCTGAGTCTAATATGGCTGCCAGGAATATCAAAAGAATCCAAACCATATATGGTCCCTGCCATTGTTAAGTTTAGTGTCTAGAGGAGGAAAGAGATGTTAAGCGAATAGACTAATAAGTATATAATTATAATCTCTGACACAATTTATGAAGGGAAAGTTCACAGGCAGAGAACAGTAGGCCAGGCTGATCTGTGGTGAAGGGATGAGCTGCTAGTTCACCATGTAAAGAGAGGGAGAGGAGTCCTGAGAACACCAGGGGCAGAAATAACACGTGCAAAGGCCCTGGGGTAGAATGTACTTTAGGCAGCACAGTGAGAGAGTGCAGAGGGCACGAGGAGAGTGGCAAAGACAAGGGTAAAGAGGCAGGCTGGCTCGACAGCACACGAGTGCTACAGGCCACGGTAAGGACACTCACTGGTCATCACTGGGAGAGCCTAGTCCCCTAAAGAGACTGATCCAAGGACAATACAGGGAATGCAGAGGAGAAGGCAAGAGACCATGTGTACTTAACACTAGGAGAAAATGATGGTAGCTTAGATTTGTGGAGCAGAGCTGGAGAAAAAAGGATAAATTTGAGAAATATAAGGGGATAAACTGACAGGACTCAGAGTGAGTGGGGAGAAAAAAGCAGAAAATCTTCTCGACACTCCGCATGGACAGTGAGGCCACTTGCAGGCAGTGGTTTCAATGACGGAAGAGCTCTCCAGAATACCAGGAGCCCAGCTGTAGAGAGGAGGAGTCTGAAAGGCCTTGAAGCATCTACACAGAGGTGACTACTTGGTCGGCTGTTTGACAAGTGAGTGTGGACAGGGAAAGAATGTCTGGTTTGGAAATAAAAACGGAATCATCCATGTGGACAAAAGGGGAAGGTCAGGAGAAGCGAAGATGAAGCAGAAGAGAAGACGACCCCTGAGGACCCTTAGTAAGGGCGCAGCGGGGGTGGCGGGGAGTGGGGTCGGGGGAGAGCCAGGGAAAGGCAGTTGTGGCCCAGAAGCCAAGCAAGAAAAGTGCTTCCAGAAACAGGTGGACAGGTCAACGAAGACCTGAAAAAAATCGCAGGAGCCTACAGAGACAGAAGCCAAAGCCACGTGTAATTAGACCTGTGACTTCAGGGAAATGACTGATAGGAACTCATCTGTCCCTTTAAGTGACAAGGATATAACTCAAACTATCCTCACAGCAAAAAGGGAGATAATGTTTAAAATGAGAAATTAAACAATCAGTTTGAGTCCCTTCTTTTTACAGAGGAAGAAACGCTAAGGTGGGGGGCAGGGGGGGCCTGACTAACAGGTAGCAGAGCCCAGGGGTGCAGCCCGCTCTGCCCAGGCCTCGCTCTTCCTCCCTGGGCGCCCCGAGTACCGTGAGGGTGCACTCCATTCTGCAGCAGAGCTGGCTCATGGAAACGCACGCGTACTTCCCTGATATAAGTGCACAAGAATTAACGTCACTGCCCCAAACTAGCATCGCTGAGCGGAGCTGTCTTGTTTTCTGCACTTACCTCTTTGATTGTGGTGTTTCTTCCCCTCCAGGAAAACCACCATCGTCCTCCCTTTTTAGGCATCTTATCCCTCATGATCGTTTCCACAGTGGCCTGTTTTAAATGGATGGTAACATAAATAATGGAACCAAAAAAAGATCAACTCAGCACATTCGAACCAAAAGAAACATACATGCAAAGTAAAGTAAGATTAAACGAACAAACAAACAAAAAAATCAGAGAGAAAACAGAACGTACTGCTTGTGGATTAAAGATTTTAGAGAAGCAAAACCTAATGGCATCCAAAATTACAGTAAGGTAACTCAAGCATGAAGACTTGAGGGGGTGTTAAAGGAATAAAGAAACGACAAATAAAATACGACACAACAACAACAATGGGAAAAAGAAAGAAAGCATTAAAAACCATTAGTGATTAGTAAGACCAGAAGTTTTCAAATTAAAGTGGCTAACTGGTTAAGGTACCGTTACCCTCAGTAGGATGAGTATAAAATAAAATATGAAAATGGTTAATATGAGGTATAGGATAAAACTGTTTTCGACAAAATGTAAAATAGGCGGAAATTTTTGTTCAGTATAAATTCCAAATTTTGACATGAACAGGTGTATTTGACTTAAAATCTCAAATATTAAATTAAAAATTCGTACTTTTTATCCTACCTGAATAAAAGTTTGATGGGAGAGATTACATATGAATTCATAATTTTCTAAGTATTTCCAAAGAGCAAAATATCGATCTTGAGTCTAATTCTGGGGCCAAGGTAAATGATATCTCGTGCCCCTTCCTCAGTTTACAGAACTTTCAGGTAGCTAATACCTCAGATGAAAGGAAGATTTGAGTCCTTCATGTCAACAGGGTAGAGGTAAGTGGACAGAGAAATAATTCATTGTTTAGTTTAAAAGATCCCTACCTGATACCAAAGACCCTGAGTACACTAAAATGCAAATCACTCACACCTTCTTCGTAAAGATGTCATTTACCCTATCTTCCCTAAATCCACCCTTAAATGTAAAAAAATCCTGATTTAAGGGGTAGAGGAGAAAGGAGAGAGAAGAAAGGAACTAACAAGCTGATTCTCAGACCTAGACAAACTCTTTCTCAAGCTCCTTTGAGAAACAAACAAATCCTTAGGCAGAACAGTAACCTAGCTCTGCTAGGTATTAAAATAGATTTAAAAGCTACAGTAACTACAAGAATGCAGTGTTTTTACAAGAGTTGTCGCAGGAAGGGAAGCCAAAGTCCAGAAATAAATCTAACTTCCCAGAGAAATCTAACAGAGGACAAGTCTTAATTGCCCATCCGTGAGGAAAGGGTGATTTAATAAATGGTGGTGGGATGATTTGGCAGCTAAGTCAGATCCTACTAGTTACCTACATGCCTTCCCTTCTTTCTTGCCAATAGACCAGAAACTCTGTCGGAGAACATATGTTCAGGGAAGAAGGCAGGTTAATATCTGCAGCGCCAACCTTCACAGGTCTAACTCATTCGTGTCATTCCACTGTTTTGCCAACAATGAGTTTAGAGGTGATTGTGTGACCAAGTTTTGGCCAACAAAATACGAGAAAGCTGCCCAAGCCTTCCTGTTTGGGATGTGGTTGGATGAGGAAATGATGGGCAGGGTGGTCAGCTTGTGATGACCATAAAGGAAAAGCCAAGAAAGTCACAGAGCAGCCAACCCAAATTAACCCGCCTGGAACTATCAACCTCTGCAGTGATTATCAGGCAAAATGATAAACCCCTAGTACGTCAGCCACCTCTAGTCATTCTGTTTCCTAAAACCAAAAGCAATTTAGTAACTAGTTAGGGGAAAAAAATGGTTCCTGATGCCCTTATTCCTCTCAAAATCCAAATTCCTCAAAGATTTAAACTGAAAGAAAGCGTGGGAAGAAAACGCAGGACACATTTCCACAAGTTTTGCAAATGGAGTAGCGAGGCCATTCCAAGCATCACACGAAACCTGGCAGTCATAAAAGATGAGACTGACAGATTCTACAAATAAAAAGAATTTCTTTATTAGAGAAATGCCATAAATGAGTCAAATATTACTGACTAAACCTGGAAAAATATTCAATAGACCTATCACAAGAATTAATTTCTTCTAAGTTTCAGAGCCAAGCGTCTCTCTTTTTCTGTGAATAAATCCTTTAACTATATTGCTATTGCATTTAACATAAAAATTTGCCCTAGCCTGGGGCAGCACCTGTGGCTCAGTGGGTAGGGTG